CACACACCTCTGCCCCTACTAACACCCCCAATATCTACCTACAGAGTGAGCTCCATGTTGTATGCATCTCCTTGTTTGTAAAAAGAAGATACCAATGCTGTTATGGTAGCACTTTTCTAATTATCAAATGAGCCTATGACAGTGAATCCTGCATAACTGCAAGCTCAGTAGTTGATAGCCATGTTGTTATTACATTTCAATATAAAACTACAAATATTTTAGCTAAACAATGTTAGAAAATAGTCACCAAGACATTTTAATCTTCAGAAACATAAAGTAGAGACTTAGAAAGTTATTAGGAAACAACCTGGTATTTTCAAGTGTTACTTTTGGAATAATAAGGAAATAATCTCTTCTTTGAAAAACACATAATTCTTGATATATTTTTTACCTACTTGAATGTATCAAAGCTTTAATAATATGATAATATCTACCTGACTATTATATTTCTGCTTATACAGTTAGATGAATATTCTTGATATATAATTCATTCAAAGATTACTTATTTTTGTTTGATGCTTGTCAATCTAGAATAGTTTAAGCATTGAAAACAAGAGTACACTATTAGCCCATTATTTCCTTACTGCTTTCCACTTACGTACCTGCAGCCATTTGTAACAGCTGAGCTGTGTGGGATAATTTGTGTAAATTATAACTTCATCAGCGCATACTGACCTCAGTGTATGCAGATAGATACACATTGACACTTGGAAGCAAATAGGAAGAGGGTCCAGCCTTTAGACCCTGTTTGAGTGGATTTAGTAGTTTTTCTGGTTAACATTACACAAAGGTTCAATTCAAGAATGCATACTTAAACAATTTTAGGCCCTTTGAGTAATATTCAGTTACTCATTTACATAGAGTGGGGTTTTCTCTTTCTTTCTTTTGGTTTTGTTATTTCTTTATTTTTGGTACTGGGGATTGAACTCAGGACTTTGCGCTTGCAAGTCAGGTGGCAGCACCACTGAGCTAAATTGCTGCCTGGTTTTGTTATTTCTTACTGAATTTCTAAATAAACAGTTCAAATCTAGATGAATCTTTAATTACACTTAATACATTTTCTACCTTTACCAAACCAGATTAATAAGAAAGGATCTTCCTTGGACATAAATATTTTAAATATTTATTTAAAGCATACATATGTTTTATATTCAGTATATATATACAAACACATAAATATATACTTTGATATGTGTACTTATAGTTTATGATGAATTCAGGTATGGATTACTAGACAAAAGGTATTACAATAAATACAGTAGTTATTATAATAAAAATCTTAATTATTTCTCTCTTTTTAACTCATTGAGAAAGTCATTCTACCCTCAGCAAACAAGAGATCAGATAATTTCTTTCTTTTTTTTTTGAGACAGGATCTCACTTTGAGGCTCAGACTGACCCTGAACTCACTATGTAGTTCTGTCCTTGAACTTGTGGCGATCCTCATGCCTCAGCCTCCAGAGTGCTGGGATTACAGGCACGCACCACCGCACCTGGTCAGATAATTTCTTATCATCATTGAAATGCTATTTCTAAGCATACTATTTTTAATGACAAACTAATAAGGTAGCAGAATCCATTAGAGACCTTCAAGGTTCTCTTTATATTTTGCTAAAATTTTAAAATGATATAAACATCATGGTAGGTTAAAATGTTACCACTTTTCATTTTTTAGTTATACTCTTTACAGATTTATATTAATAACAATTATAAGTCAATATCCACACTGACTGACATTTCATAGGAATCTTTGTATTATGGCAAATGCAATCATTTCTTGTTCAATCTAAGGATACAGAATGTTATTAATCATTTCAATAATTAATTTAATCAGTAACTATTTGTTGAAAGATAGACACGGGAAAAACAAAAATGAATAAGACTGGAGTGCCCTCAGCAAGCTGACAGTGGAGTGGGGCAGATGGTCTCATAAGTCAATCACTGTAAGAGAATCGAGTGTGGTCTAGATCTATAATAGAGCTAGGCACACAGGATGGAGGTGAAAAAAGGAGGGAAGAGCCAGATGTTAAGAGGAAGACTAAGGACATTTTCAGAGATGACAAAGCATGTGAACCGAGTTTGGAAGAAGAACGAGTTTGATGGATGATTAGCATGCACAATCATACTCTTGGGGTCATGACGTGCACAAAGGCTAGGCTTCTAGCTGGGCCTTGGCCAGCAGAAGCAGAGGCAGAGGCAGTCTGCAGAAGACACAGGAGAGAGGGTCTCACACACTGTCCTGGGGTGTCTATAGTTCATTGACTCTATGCTAGGCACTCTTCAGCACTAACTCACATTATTAAGGAACTCATCTTTGGCTTGCCCTGCCATACAGCCTGTTCTCAGGGTTATTTTTCTCTCCTTTTCACATTCATGTTATGGTTAAAATTATGTGCTAATCAAGTGCATCAATTCTTAAAATCACACTGATATAGATTTCACCTATCTTCTATTTCCAGTTTATATCAGACTTCAGGTCTGAAAATCCCATGTCTCCATCACACTCTGACCCTATGATACTGAATGAAACACTTCACTCTTCCTTAGTGTTTGGAGATGATGTTCTAAGGAATGTTAGATTGGTATCTGACTTAACCAATCTGCTGTGGAAGAAGAATTCTAAAGTCAGAAATAGTTTTTAAGGCAAGTACCACAAATATACAATGGTCAACAAAACTCTGAAAATTGAAACAAAAACAAAAGTCCTGAAAAGAAGAATCCAAGAGAATCTGTCTTTTAGTAGGGCTGACATTCCAACCACATGCCTTTCTTTTTTTTTTTTCTTTTTTCTTTTTATTACATTCTAGTCCTGATGTGAAACTTTAAAATATGATGTTGGCAACACTGAGAGAGTAGAAGTATAGAGTGGGGCAGATCCTGGAAAAACAAGACCAGAAACATGTACTCCCTGGGCCCCCTACACATGGACAGCCAAGAAGCAGCCAGGCCTGCACCCATGTCCATGATGCATAGGTTCTTACTTAGGAACACACTGCCAAATCCTGTATACTGAAAACTTGGCTGGTTTATAATCAACATGTGAGGGAACAAGACTTGGCCTTCTGGTCTGGGTGAGATGTGTCAGCCAGGCATCGCTGGCCTAGAGAGAGGGACACAAAGCACACATCCACACTCTTGGCTCCAACTGCTGTCCCCAGTTATCAGTGCTTCCCACCTTGGGAAAAGATCATGACTCATTTGGAAGAATGCCACCCACCCATTCAAACCAGTGATGTTGTCCAATACAAACCCAAAAGACAATGCCTTAAGTTGGTTCATAACAAGATAGGTCTAGAATCTAATGTTGAACATGTGATTAGGTAAAGGAAAGTCCGAGCCCTAACTCTCCATCGTTCTGTGATACATATTCTACATTTCCACCTTTTCTCTAGGTTGTTCCCTTTCTCTCTTGAAAAGGGAAAGTCATTCTAAACATGGTAACAGCATAAACTTTATAACAAATTAAGCACAGATCTGATCTTCCCTGATAGGCTTAAAAAGCCAATAGATTTGTCATTTTAATTTTTTTAATGAGAATGCCAGATTCAAGTTATATTTGTATTTTTCAACTTAAGTTATTTGTTCATCTCTTTTTAAAACAATTCTAAACCTAACAAAAGTAATCTTATAATTGGGCACATTGCTAAAAGTTCCCTAATTATAACATATGGCAGGGACAATTTCAAACTCAGAGGATCTCTGACTTGTGTTACTTGAAAATCACATATAATAATTGTATTTTTACAACTCCCAGTGAAGGTGACAGCTACTATTCCCTCCCAGAGGTTGTGTTAAATCCTCTTAACCAAAGCAGTATGGACTATATCATAATTATTTCCATTCTTTCTCAGAAATGGATACTTCAAAAGGTTGAATAAGAATTCTAGGTTCCACAATTAATTAATAAATAGCTCTGAGCCAAGCGCTTTCTGATTCTAAAATATGCTCACCACAATAACCCCACATTCCCCAGGGAACTGTCTGATAAGTTTCGAAGGCTAGCATAGTACAGCTAAACACTTGACTATATTAATGTACACTGGGAGATTATATAAGATCTATTATTACTAGCCTCATTTTACAGATGAGAAATCTAAGGCACAGAGAGGTAAGGCACTTGGTAAAATTTAAGTTATAGAACTGACTTGTAACCTTAGGAAGTTTGATTGTAGATCCTGCATATGTAAGCACAAAACCACAATATCAGTAAGTGAATATATGTCATCTGTTAAGATTTTTTCATTTGTATAAAAACATTTTATTCATGTAATAGCTCATTCATTGTCCCTTGAATAAAAATCACATCTAATGTCTAGAAAAGAACTTGAAAGCTAGCTTCATTGCCTGTTAGTCAATGATTTCACACACATGCCTTCATTTGACCTTCAGAGTAATCTTACAAAATAAGATAAAGAAGAAATTATTCCTCTCATTTTTCAGATGAGTAAACTGAAGCCTCTGATAAGGAACTAATCACATGACAAATATTGAAGCCGGAACTAAATTAAAATCTTCTAGGTACAATTCCCTTTCCCATGACACCATAAATATACATCAGTCATCAATGTGATACATGTGTGACCAGAAACATATCAAATATCCTGTTGGTAAAATTACAATGAAATAAAAATGTTTCAAAGTATTAAACTAGGTAAAATTTTTTTAGGCTTACATTGATACTAGATTTATATGATATTAAAGAACCAGAAGAAATTGAAAGTGTCCAGTCACTTTTTTATCCAGTTAAAAGGAAAAATTATACACTTCTAAATTCTGTCTATATAGACCATATATACCATCTTATTAATATATATTTATACAAAATACATTTTAGCTGGTTTCTTCATTTTATAATTGATTGATACAGAAAGAGGAAATTCACCCACATTTTAGATCAGAAACATGAACACACATCTCTTGCATAATTTTAATTATAAAGGTATCCTTTGTTGAAAATCTCAGTATAATTATGTAAATAGAGTTGAATAAAATATACCTACTAGTAACAAGACTTGGTGTTGCACATCATGATGGAGATGGATGCAGTTCATTCAATCCACAGTCTACTGGGGAACTTGGAAGTGAAATAGGTGCCATTACTGTTCATACCTAAACAGACACATAAAAAGATGGCAACATCAGTCAGTAAATATTATTTCATATCATTTGCAGAAGGATATAGTTCCAATCTGTAACATCCATGATTAATATCATCATCATCCTAGATGTTTAACAAGCAATCCAACTAAAGGACCTTAATTTATATATTGTCTTTTGGACACAATGTGAAGAACAACCATGGGAACACACCCTTTAGTCAGGAAATGTTATGTAATAATTGAGAAGTAAATCTGCTAACAAATTGATATAATGTTTATTTCAATAAGTCATACAAAAAACCACAAACTTTTTCTTTTTTAAATTTACTTTTTATTAGTACATGTTTGCAGTACATAATATTTATGTTCATCTAAAGTATTCTCGTTCTTTTTATTCACTGTCGCTGTCTCTAGATCCCCCTTCTCAAAAGATTTATCTGTTTCATATTATTTTTTTAAAAAATTATTTAGAGCTTTGGTTTCCTCATATAAGAGATATAATTAATTATTTAAGCTTGTGTGTCTGATCTATTTAACTTAACATAATGGCCTCTAGATGCATCCATTTTCCTATAGATGATTCAAATTTGTCCTTCTGTATGATAGAGTAGCACTCCATTATGTATAGATAGCATACTTTCTTTATTCATTTATCTGTTGATGGATATATGGGGTGCTTCCAAGATTTAGCTATTATGATTTGTGCTGCTATAAACTTAGGTATGCATATATTACTGTGGTATGATGTCTTTAACTTTTTTGGGATGATAACTAAAGAGGAATAGTTGATTTCTAGCTTTTTTTTTTTTTTTGAGGAATCTTCTTACTGATTTCTATAGTGGTTGTACCCCTTCACATTCCCATCAATAATGCAGAGAGTGCCTTTTCCCAGCCTTGCCAGTATTTGGCATTGTTTGAGTTTTTAATTGCTAGCCATTCTTTCTGGAGTAAGGTGGAATCTTAATGTTTTAACTTGCATTTCTCTGATGGCTGAGATGTCGAGCATTTTATCATGCATTTATTGCCCATCTGTACTCCTGAGAAGTGTCTATTCATTTCAGATGTCCATTTGTTGATTGAGTTTTTTTTTTAATTCTGGAAGGTCTGATTGTTTTGAGTTCTTGGAAATTTTTGATTAGTCCTCTGTCACAGTAGTAGTAAACAATAGTAAAGAAATATTTCCAATTCTGTAGGTTGTCTCTTCACTCTGTTGGCTGTTTCCTTTGCTGTGGAGAAGTTTTTTAATCTGATATAATCCTATTTATTGATTCTTGATGCTATTTCTTGTGCAATTAAGGTTCTGTTCAGAAAGTTCTCTCCTGTGTGCATGTCTGGTATGTTATAATGGCATTAATTTTTGTTTCTAGAAATGGTCTAATTTCTTCCTTGATTTTTTTTTCTGTGACCATTGAATATTCAGGTTTGATACCTAGGTGCCTAAAATTTCTGTGCTTTAGTGATTTCTAGTTCAAGTGCCCTATGATTGCATAGTATACATGGAATAATTTCTATTGCTTTGTATTTATTTAAGCAAGCTTAACAGCCCAATATGTGGTCTATGTAGAAGAAAGTTTCATTTGCTTCTGAGAAGAATGTATATTCTGTCATAGTAGGATAGAACACTCTGTACATATCTATTAAGTCTATTTGTTCAAAGATGTCATTCAGCTTGGATATTTCTTTGTTGATTGTTTACCGGATCTATTTGTGAAAGTAGGGTGTAAAGGACCCCCACTAGATTATGTTGACATTTACCTGATATTTTATGTCCAGTAGAGTTTGTTTTATGAGGTTGGGTGCACTGGTATTTGATGCACATGTATTTACAGATGTTACCACTTTGTGTTGAATTGTTCCATTAATTAATATGTGGTAAACTTCTTCTGATCAATTTTCCTGAAGTCTACTTTGAGGATAAGATTGCTTTTCCTCTTTGCTTTCAGAGTTATGGAGCATGGAATACTGTTTTTTGTCTTTTGATTTTTAGTCTATGAATTTCTTTTTGGATTAGATGGATTGAATGTATCAAACCAACAGGTCATGCTTTTTAACCTTATCTGCCAATCTAGGTTTTTATTTGGGGAGCTGAAGTCATTTACTTGATAGTTATTACTGAAAGGTACTGACTTATTCCTGCCATCGCATTGTTTCTCTGCTATTGATTCCCTTACTTTTCCCTTTTTGTTTAACTGCTCATACCACATAATGCATTCATTTCATTGTTCTTCTTGGCTTCATTATGTATGTTTAGTATATCCTTGAGGATTTTTTTTTTTTTTTGGTACCAGGGATTGAACTTGGGACCTTCCACTTGGGAGGCAGGCCGAGTGCCACTGAGCTAAATCCCCGGCCCTGAAGTAAATTTCTATATGAACTACAAAGAAAATGCCAATAGAATCACTTTTCTTTTGAAGTTTTTTTTTTGGTACCAGGGATTGAACTTGGGACCTTCCACTTGGGAGGCAGGCCGTGGAACCACTGAGCTAAATCCCTGGCCCCGACCTTCAGGATTTTTTTGAATGCTGGTTTAATGGTCATGAATTTCTTAAAGTGTTCTTTGTCATAGGATGTTCATATTTTTCTATGTATTTTGAAAAATAGTTTTGTAGGGTATATTAGTCTGAGTTGAAAGCGTATTTTTTTCGGGGGGGGCTTGAAACACTTCACTCCAAACTTTTCTGGCCTTCAATATTTCTGTTAAAAATTATACTGCAATCCTAATGGGTTTACATTTATAAGTGTTTTTTTTGCTTTTCTCTGACAGATTTTTAAGATTCTGTTCTTGGATTTTGACTATGATGTGGGGAGTTTCTTCTCTCATAATTATTTGGGGTTCTATAAGCCTTTACCCTGTTGGTTTCTTTCCCCATATTTGGCAAGATTTAAACTATGATTTCTCAAACAGATTTTTTATTCCACACATGTTTTCCTCTAATTTTTCTCTAACTCCAATTCATCTTAGGTTAGTCTTTCCATCATCTAGCAGCCATTGAATCAATTTTCTTTGCCCTCTCATTGTTTTTAAGGTATGTCTAAGTGTAATGTCTTATACTTCCTGTATGTCCTCAAAATCTGACACTCTGTTCATATATATCAGTTCTGCTGTTAGTATATTCAGCAGAACTCTTTGGGATTTCTGTTTGGAACCTTCTCATGAACTAAATTTCTATGGAGAAATTGTCATTCATGTTTAGAATGTTTTTGGTCATCTCTTCCAATTTTTTATTTGTCTCTTTTTAACCACAGTGATCAAATTGTTTATGAATTCTACTATCTCTTTGGTTGTATCATCTTTGAGCTCATTGCATTTCTTTGCTTCCTCTTTAATCATTTCATACAGCTCAGCTACTTGATGTTTGATCTTTTCTCCACTGGGGCCCCTTGCATCTGCTTTGGGAGAGGGGAGTCTTTGGAGGCATTTTATTGCCTTGCTTTTTCATGTTCTTATGTGTGTGTGTGTGTGTGTGTGTGTGTGTGTGTGTGTGTGCATGTATGCACATGCATATGTGTGCATTAAACTTTGAGGTCAAATAAAGTGAAGAGACTTTGTCATTGGTAAGAAGATCTCGTTAATTAGGCTCTGTTTTCCAGTGATGTAATCTTTGCTTTATTTGCCAAGATGCATTTTGTACCATTCCAACCTATTTAGTTTAATTCGGTTGGACCCAGTCATAAGCAGCCGGAGTGTCCACAGTTCCCTTTATGCTGTAGTCACTGTCTGCTTACAAGCAGCCAAGTGATTTCCTCCCTGTGGACTGCTTCACTGCCTGCCTGGGAGTGGTGAGGGCTGTCAATCTCTCTGGACCAGCCTCTTGGCTGCAAGCCATGCTTTGGCTATGGCCAAATGCAGACTTCTGACTCTGTACCAAGGCCTGATCACTTCAATTAATTTGGTTAGGAGAGGATGTGATAGAAAGTAGTTGCCCAATACTTGGATCTCAGTGGACTTCCACCAGTGACCTCCTACTTCCCTTGCTATAGGGCAAATCCCACAGTTGTCTCCCTGTACCCTCCAGAGGTCTTCTGCCCAGTATAAAACCAGAAACCCTCTACCCCAGGTGACTCTTTCTGTTCTTCGGCACTCAGATTTAATTGTCCCTTGATCCTGACTCAAGAGCTCTGCTTTCTAACTCGTGGCACTTGGCACAGTCCAAAGCCTCAACAGAGGGCCGCCTTAGCCTGTATGGCACAGTGAGTTTTGGGTAGAATGACATGCTGTCTCAGATCTTTCCAGTGTTTAGGGAAATAGGAAAGGGCCCATTCTGGTCCAGCTCCATTGAATCTCTGCTCCTCCCCTGCATCTCCTGGGATGGGATCTGCATGTTGCTGCCAGCAGGATCTATGACACCCAGAGTTTGCAATGTAGAGCATCTTTCTAAGGTGGGGACTTCCCTGAGCTGTGGGTAATGGGTAGAATGTTGCAGCGACACAGGGTATCCTAGTGTGTGGGAAGATGATGTGGGGAGAGGTATTGCCTATATTTGTGTTGCTGGCTTTCCTTGTCTCCAGTTATAATCCACAGCTTCACTGGGGCATCAGTTTACTTCCACACTAGTTTTCTTCTTGCAGGTGGGAGGGAGAGTATGTAGGGAACCTATCCCAGGAGTCTGGGCTTTGCAACACTGAGTCCTCCTCTCAGGCTGTTACAATTGCTCCCAAGATCAAAAATCCCAAATTTATCCTCTGATAAGGACTATTTGGGGGCTTCTATGCTGAGGATTGCACTATGTCTGCATATGAAATTTCATTTAGTCTTCACAACAAAGCCACAATAGATAGATGTCACATTATACAGATTCCAAGGATCAGGGCAGTAAAGCAACTGGTCCGAAGCTCTACACTCTACAGAATATACTGTTTCACAGTATCATGTATAACAAGTATCACATAACAAGGTCTCATGTGTGACCTACAACATGAGTGATATACCACCAAGAGTATTATAGGAAGAGCTATCTCATGGGTTCTCTCCTCTCTTGTAGTTTTCTAAAAGAAAAGATGATATTCTAC